GGGATACCCCCCTGGCAGCAACACCTTCTCAACTCGTCTTTCAACTACTGGGGCCGCCTAGCAAATGGCGTCCACCGCTAGTGAGCGCGGCGTGCCCCCAAGCACGTCTCCACGTTCTGACGGTTCCCACGTCGTTAGCGACCTTCCTCCGAGTGAATAGCGGCCGCCATCGTCTTTCGGCCCGTGGGGGATAAGGCCAACTTCCTGGCTGCGTTGAGGGATGCGATCGTCGTCTTCCTTTCAGGGTTTCCAGCCACCCAGCGAGTGCGGGTCAATTTTCGGCGCAACCTTGTTGCTGTCGACACCCACGTATCCTACCGCCGATCTGACCGCCCTACTCCGGGTTGGGACGATCTGCGAGACCAAGGTTCGAGCCAAACAACTCGACCTGAACACCTGTGTTGGCATGGTTTTTGGAATGGACCCAACAATCCCCTAGAGGACCTCGCCGACAATATTGTTTCAACAGTGCCCCTCGTGTCCGGTGTACGTAGAGGCAACTGCCTCACCCTCACCTTCGCTGGGACTACCGTCCCGCCGGATAGACTGCTTTACAAGCAAAGACGCCCTGTTCGACCTCGCCATCACCGGACCCTGCAGTGCTCCCGTTGCAGCCACTTCGGGCACGCAACCACCACTTCCTCTCGGGACGAACGGTGCCTGCGCTGCGGCATCAAGTACGCCCCAGGATCGTGTGCTGCACACCAGCACACCCTTGCTGCATAAACTGATGTGGGAAACATCCTGCAACCGAGCCGCGCTGTCCAGCCTGGCAGTTCCATCGCAGGGCCGTGGTCATCATATCCTCATCCAACGGCACCGTGACTCACGGCCAAGTCTGCAGCACGTTAGGACCCGTAGCAACAACGTCTCCATCATTACAGAGGTTCGGCCGCAGTCTACTTCTTAAGCCACGATGCTGGGCGTAAATGTGACAATATATTACAATAAGTTAATATATGTAATCTACTAGTCCATTCAGTAACACCATAGTATTTTTGATGCAATGCTGCGACAAGATTTCTCCAGCAATAGCAGGGTATATATGTACAAGTCTCTGTAGGAATTAATGAGAGCCCACAATATGGGAAACAGCTACACAAAAGTAATGCAAACAGGATGCGCGCAAGTATGAGTTACGCGCAAAGTTGAGGCAAGAACACCAATCGAGAGAGGCCGTAGTACGCAAACGGCCTCTGACGGGACACTACAATAAAAAAAAAAGATTTTCAAAAGATTTTTCTCATATAGTAATCATAATACCAAGAACGTCAGCCTAGCTGCCGAAGATGTTTGACAAGCGAGAAAACGCACAAAAGCAAAACCCTGAAGTTCACGAACCAGTCACCATGACATTGCAGATTTTGATGGCATGTACTATCAGCGACAAATGAAAGCCGAACAGCGGCAAGCCTTCGCGAAAGGATAGTGAGCGCCGTCCAGTTATCACCAGTCATAGACACGCGCATTCTGTTCGGCAGCTCTGCGCACGTATGCGTGCCTGTCCGTGTTGGCAAATGCACGACACGCACTGCATCATCGCGAAGCCTTGCCGTTGTTCGGATTTCATTTGACGCTAATAATACAAGCGTGAGCTTAAGTGTGCAGACCACGGAGTGGCGTGGCCGAAGGCATCGATGCGCTATCTGGCGACTAGACGTCTGCTGCGGTGCGCGTCCCGTCGTACCGGTTGGCCTCAAGCCGCTCTCTCCGACACGACCTGCTCTATAAACTTACGGCCTGCTCATCGGCGCCACCCATATGAAGGCGTGTGGGCCCGAAAATTGGCGCGTAGGGACCAGAGTTACCGCGAGGTGCCGCCACAACTTACCCTCATTGCAGACGACGTGCTGCCGTAGTGGTGCACTCGTGAGTGCACGTTTCTGCAATTTTTATCTTATTTATAACGCGCTGATCGAGCAACCCACAGATTTAACGAATCGAAGCAACATTCTAGCAGTGAGCAGCACCATAGTGGTTGGCTCCAGGATGTTCATTACAGGAACTCAATCTGCAAGAGCGCTTTGTGTCCTGGTCTAAGCGCAGGCGAACGCGAGCAATATGCGACACACCACCAGTTTGTTTTGCACAGTGCGCCTCACCTAACCGTTGTCTAGAAGGTGCTGAAATAATTCGTCCGTGGGCAAAACAGCGATCTTGTAACGAGCTGCAACTTGAAATCAGTGTGTTTTTGTGACGCAACAAAGACGCATAAGGTACTAAAAACGCATGCAATGACCCGTGTAAGTTTTCATGCCCTGCATATCACCCTTCAATGATCCTGTTCACTGATAACAATAGAAGGGAGTTGTTGTGCTGTCGTCTGGCGAATGTTTACCGATCGACGGAAGCGTGCGATAAAACCGGTGGATTAGCGCAATGTTGTTAGTGATTTATCGCACCTGCAGCAGTTTGTTGCATCACTGTTCGAGCGCCACTGGTGTTTCCGTGTGAATCTTACCGTCGGTGACACCAAGCTTGTATCTCTGGAGCAGCAAAATACAGCGCATTAAGTGACAACAGCTTTTGTCACGCTCCATTTCTGTAAAGACAATAATGTTTTCTAGAAACGCGAGTATTAGTCTATACATGCGTTATAACTGGCTAAATCACTTTGAATTATCTCTGTTCTATTCCACGAGCTTTTAGCATTCGCGTTGTCGAATCTAAGTGATGGGAAATTCGTGAAACGATATCCCAGTTGACCGTCGGCTGCTCGACTTGCAGAATGAAACGCCGCTGTACACCATTATGTGAATGGTGCTGTACCTGTCGTACCCTAACGCTCTCGAGTCTTGAACAAATATCCTTATGAACTCTAACCTTTAAATGGCGCAACAACAAGTCAACGCACGCACCGCGCTGGAAAGCACTTTGGCGGCTGCAGCGATGAGGGTTAGTTGTGACGCCACTGCGTGCTGCGGCACTTTTGAAAACTAAACAAATTAAACAAGCAAAAGCAAACCTGGCGACATCGGGAGCGGTGGCATGAGCAGGTCGTAAGTTTATAGAGCAGGTCGTGCTCTCCGACGAGCTAGTAGACAAAACGACACCTAGGTGTCACTGTCTTAGCTTCAACTAGTTTGTGCCGTTTTTTTTTTTAACGTAGCAGCTGCAACGGCACCGGTTCTAGCACCGGACTCGCGTCGCGATTTGGACCGGTTTATTAGCATAACTAAGCGTAGCCAGCCTCCCAAAACCTAAAGACGTCAAGCACATAAAATTATATTTTCTCAGCTCAGCTTGCGTTCAGCCAGGTTGAACTAAATGAGCCTAGTTATGAATAAGCACAATTATATCTAATTAGACTAGCTCAATGAGTAGACAAGATGACTAGTAATTAGTATATTCTTCAGCTCGAGTCCTCCAAGCTCATTAACATTCAACTTCAATTGCTGTAACTTTATGAGAACCTGTTTAATTACACATAATCAAAATCAGACGATTGGCAATGCCATAATCAACCACACTTGAATATTTCTATGCTTACCTTGGCACTGCCTCATTAGCTGTTATGCATATTTAGCCTAATTATCCCATGTGAAACTCCACTGTTTTGCATGTGATAGGATATAAGACTAATTAATAATCCATAACTTGTATACCTCTTAACACTAATTAGACATAATTTAGATTGACTGGTAGGCTCATGGGGAAGTCAACTATAATTGGCCACAATAAGATTTGCTTTATTTGGGCCCATTTCGTTCAGCCAAATGAAATGATAGCATGATCAACTATGCATAATTGGATTTGGCCGTACGTGTACTTTTCTTGACCCATCTGGGCGCATCTAAGTTTTACTACGCATAACATAAAAACGGCAACCTGGACTGAGCTTAAGTTTGCTTGTGCCCAAATTTATCAGGTTATACCGCACTCAACTCAGCTGGATTAGATTTGGATACAATTACATTCCCTTAAATAGGTTCATTTATTACCAACTTGGCCTAACACAACAAAGGCAAGCTGAGCTGAAAAATTTAATTTTGTGTGTTTGGCTTTAGCGACAGACGCATTGAAGCACATATTGGCAAGACTCCCGGAGCAGTAATATTTGAGATATGTTGACAATTACCAGGTGGTAATAAGGGGAGCATAGCTTCAGGCATGAGAAAAATGTGTCCGGAGTACTTCAAATGTGTTTAGTGCCTCAGGTTTTGCGAGGCTGGCTACGCTTATTTAATTAAACGTCATACATAACTACGCGATCCCGCACTGGAACCGGCACCATTGCAGCCTCTACATTAAATAAAGAACAGCACAATTTGATGGAAGTATCGTTATGGCTACTAGCTTGTCAGAGAGAGCGACATGAGAGGCCAACTGATACGACAGGACGCGCATGCGCACTGCAGCAGGCGTCTTGTCGTTAGATAGCGTGTCGATGCCTTTGGCCACGCGATTTCATGATCTGCACACTCATGCTCACGCCTATACTAGGCCCTCTGCAGTTCCTAAACAGCGAAAATTAAGTAAATTTTCTCACCTATTAAGAAATCATGGTGGTGCAATTATGGACAGTAGAGTTTTCATAGCATAATTCAGTTTAAACTGACTTATTCTTTCACTTTAGTGTCCCTTTCACACAGTGTTGCTGAGAAGAAACTTGCTGATGACCTGTCCTGTTTGACTGCAGATATTGATCACACATTCATATAGTTAGTGTACAGTGAAATGCCAACCGACATGACAAGTTTCATTTAAGACATTTGAAAAATTTGTGTGTTCCGTTCGTCACAGAGCTCAGCAGTATTCACAATTCTGCACATGGAAGAGGCTTTTAAGTAGCTCCTCTGTGTCATAACATCGCGACTGAAATGTGCTAGAGGCACAGGTGACCATGAAAGCATCCACGAGTACCTGTGTTGAAAGTACACAAAGGCCACCAAAACCTATAAAATGTCAACACTTCCAATATTCACCATTTACAAGCATATACTACACATACTTGCACATACTACACATGCACCAGGTAAATGAAATCCTGGAGCCACAAATTTTCAACTCATAAAAGAAGTCACCCACCGGCAACATCATTTATTTACAGTCAAAATGCTACAACTTTTTGCTTCCTAAAGCAGCTTTGGAATGCAGGCAAATATCTCATCAAGGTGATCACTTCAAACAAATTTGCGAGCAGGGCCCATACTAAATAAATATCCCTCAAAGTCCGAAGCTGCCGATAGAAGAGGTCCACTGATAAGTTTTCACCAACACTCAGGGCTCCTGCCATGAACTATGGGCACTGGCAAACAGCAATTGCACCTTGAGTGAAAAGTCTGCGTCACCTTTCAAAACAATTTTTCTAGGAGTGACAACATGATGCAACATCATCCACACATACAACACACACATGCACTCACATGGTGTGGACATTTTGACAGGACAATGGCAGCTCATAACTTTATTCTTTTTTTTTTTCTGGCAAACAACAAAAACACTGACCATGCTCCAGCATACAAACCAGACAATCCTGCAGAGAGAGTCTTCGCTTGAAAACCAACATACAGCCTCTGCAGCATGCGACACAGCAGAACAGTTGCCACACCTGCAGAGAGTAGTCATGTACACCCCACCTTTTTTCTTTATTTCAGCAACTGCCTACTCATACTCCTTCTTAGCAGGAAACAGCAGACCAACATACGGCCTCTGCAGCATGCGACACAGCAGAACAGTTGCCACACCTGCAGAGAGTAGTCATGTACACCCCACTTTTTTTTTTTTTAATTTCAGCAACTGCCTACTCATACTCGTTTTTAGCAGGAAACAGCAGACCTATATAGCTGCTTCACTTTCACAGCCTTCGGATACCAAGATGGAAGGTTCCAACAACAAACAGAAGTCATGTGGTTGAAAGCAAATTTTGAAGTACCCCTCCTACCCCTCCAAAATGTGTCCAGGCACATCCAATAATACTTTGCCACTCATTTCAAAAGCAACACCCAAAAGACAGATTGTTAGGAAGCTTCTGTATCTACAGTGGCCTATAATGAACACCTTTCTTAAGCTCTGAGCATCAATGGGACCAATGATGGTACTTTGCTTGCTGCTGCACACAACACACAGCTGTCCACATCAGACCAGCACCACACCTGTCACGGAACTATCACAAAGCAAAAAATCCTATCCCCACAGGTTTAGCTAAGTTAGAAAGAGCTTTCCTGGTGCCTTAACCAGGGCTGGCAGGGACAGCCAATAACCATGGCAAACAACAACACAAAGAGGAAGAAAACCTGGGTTTCGGAGGACAGCCCACATAACGCCCAAAAGCTTCACGCGGCCATGCATGGCTGGAGGGTCCAGTAAAAAAAGAGCCAGGACCTCAGGAGTCGCCTTCCCCAGGGGACGGTGGATGTCACTTGTTTACATAGGTGTAGGTGCGAGGTGGCAAAGGCGATGAAGCAGCCTCTGATGGCAGGTGCAGGAAGTCCCAAATGAGGATGGTGTCATCATGAGATGATGACACAATTTGGAAGTCGTCAAACTGCAGCCGAAACACTCGGCCACTATGCTCCTGCAAAGAAGGCAAGCAAGTCAATAGGTGCTTAGCATATAAATAAATTGCTCAGCTTACCACAAGAGTGCGCAAGCAGAGTGTTCCTGCAGGTGCTCGAGGGTCCAAAGCTGCTGCAAGGTCCCACACTTTGATCTTGCCATCATAGGCACCGGATACTATGCGCTTGGTGTCAAAGCGGATGCAGCGCACCAGTTCTTCATGGCCTTCAAGCACTCGCAGGCAAGCACCACATTCAATGTCCCACAGCCTGCACAGTAGAAATAAGTTAATTTTTGGGGCACATGAAAGGCTTGCACACCACCTCACCTGATAGTGTTATCAGAGCTGCCAGAGACCACAAGCCGGTCTCTGTACTGCAGGCAGGCGATTCCACGCTTGTGGCCATTGAGAGTCCTTACAAACTCACAGTTTGGTGTTCCCCAAACTTTGATTGTGCGATCTCCTGAAGCAGACACCACATAGCGTTCATCAAAGTCCACCACATTCACTGCAGCTCGGTGGCCAACAAGAACCCGCCGCAAGTTGATCTCACGAGGAGCAACCATGTCCCAGACAGCGATGGAACGATCCTGCAGCGAAATACAGTTCTATGAGCATTACACGATTCCTTTGCCACAATGAGTAATAAGCTGAAGGAATGGTTCATAAGTGCACATATTTCTTTCGAGTAGGCATGTTTGCTTCATTCTTTCAGTGCTTGATGCAAAATTCAACTCACGATAGTCCAGCTGGCAAGCTCAGGATTATTGATGATGTGTTATTCAACGAGTGGACTCCTCACCAAAAAGCAAATAGGCTTTAACATGATCTTCACTTTAATCACGAGGCTAGTAAAGTGGCACATTCCAAAATTCCTCAATAGCAGTTATATTTGCAATCAAAGATAGGAATCTGACCATAAGTGTATGGGCCTCCTGCACTAACCTGGCAGCGCAGCAAGAAAAAAAAAAAAAAGGAGACTATTAGTACTACCATGGTACCAAGGAAAAGAGAAGATAGTGCAAAGTGAGTGGTCTACAACAAAACATGCTCAAGCCAGTACAGGAGCCCCACTTTTGGTTGCATTGCACCACTGTTTTAAGGGGACTAATAGCTTTGAAAACTTCTTTTGCTATTACACACTACACAAGGAGAGGTAACTATCAGCAAGGCAGATTAGGTCTATCATCTAAAAGAAAAAAGTTTAGAGCATTGTTTCAATGCAGAACTTACAATATTGAGACAAGCACTCTGACATAGGTTCTCTTACTACCATAGTGATGTTTGAAATTCAGTTAACATTTACGCTAAAGATTCAGATATTGTGCAGCAAGAGGTTCCACCTTTTCAGTAAATGTAGAGACCAATTATACAATGATAGCAACTTCTGTGTGGTAGTGGCGATGCCTTCACGGATAAGCAGCAGAAAAGAGTGAGGGTAGTTCGTAGCCATGGATGAACATGCCAATGTGATTTATCACAATACAGGCACTGTGGTCTCTTCCGTGACCCCTTTCTGCGCTGTTTGGACTAACTATGTCTACGTAGTACGTACCAATAACCCCATTCCACCCTTTTCAAATTCTGTAACAGCAAGCCTTTTCAGCTATCTGCTCGGCTAAATGTGTGGCAAAGCCCTATTCATCATCATCATCATCATGACTACGTCCACAGCAGGACGTAGTCATGATGATGAATAGGCCTCTCCCATGTTCCACCAGTCAACTCGGTTCTGTGCTTGCTGCTGCCATATTATACCGGCGAACTTCCTAATCTCATCTGCCCACCTAACTTTCTGTCTCACCCTAACCCACTTGCCTTCTCTAAGAATCCACTTAATTACCCTTAATGACCAGCAGTTATTCTGTCAATGCGCTACATTCCCGGCCCATGTCCATTTCCTCTTCTTGATTTCAACTATGATATCCTTAACCCATGTTTGTTCCCTGATCCACTCTGCTCTCTTTTTGTCTTGGTTACACATACCATTTTCCTTTCCACTGCTTGCTGCGTCATCCTTAATTTAAGCTGAAGCCTCTGCTCCATAGCCAAGACATGCCCATTCTGTAGCACTGTATAGGCCTCATCTGTCCTCCTAATCTCAACTGAGCCCTATTACATCCAATTTAACACCCTCTAGCTTCTCGAATAGTACAACTAGACTTGCCTCACTAGATAAGGTTCTAGCATTAACATTGCCAAGTTTAGGTTCCAATAGTGGCCTGTCCGGACCCAGAGATTCTTAGGACCCTCTGCTGCGTTGCAGATCTGACCGCCGCTATGGTCAGATGCTTCGCAGCCGCTGGGCAGTGAGGACCGATAGGTAATTGACGAATGCATGTGGGATGTAGTAGCCAGATACTGCACCAGGGTGGCCAATCCTTCTCTGGTGAGCGAGTGCGTCACCGGTGAGGCCGCACACCAGGCCTCTTAATGCATTTCCATCACCACGCGGATTTTTTTTTTTTAATCCGGTTGGTAACTGCGCGGCACTAGGATTCGAATCACAGATCTCTTGCATGCGAGGCTGATGCTTTAACCACTACACCATCGCTGCATCTTATAGCCACTACTTCCCACAGCCCTATTCAAAGCATGCCAAATGTACTGAATATGTGACAACTCAAGTGTGCCAGCCTCACAGAGAAGGTGCCACAGACACAATTTTCTCTCACTTAAAAAGAACTTCTGGCATTCCACTTCGATCCAAAAGTTGCAGCTCAAAATCAATTAAAAATTAGTAGTTATGAGGTGTAATGTACTTTTTTCGCAAGGAAGTTCATTTGAACAGTGCCAGCGTATTATTAAAGTACTAAGCTGAAACTACATTTACAAAAATTAGCCACAGCTCAATACTACCACTAGTATCATCACTACTGTCATTAAGAAATGGCAGCAGAGTAATTTTTTATATACTGCTTCTTGGCTTTGCATAATCATGTGTTTGAAACGCTCAAAAAACTTGCAAAAGATGGAGGGAGGCAAAATAGCTATTCTATGCAATGGAGTGGTTCAAATGATGTGAAAAGTCAAATGTAGTAGGCTGTGAGGGGGGCAGAGTGTTGTGGTCCACTGACAGCAATGAAGAGCCATCTGACACTAAACAATAAAAACAGTATTAATAAACAGTGCATGCAAATGTATTTCCATTCTTCAAGGTATACTCTGCAGGTTTCATGCTTTTGATTGCCAAAATCAAAATGTTTTCATTGTATCAATACAAAACTGAAGGGATGTGCAAATGGGCGTGTCAGTAGCAAATCTTGGTGAAGATGTTAGCGCGGTATAATACCTGTGCCACACAAGCACTTTTGAAAGGCCGCAGAGTCGGCGGCCTATGAAACACTGCAGCCTTATGAAGTTGTCGCGCTGCTGCATTGCAGTTTTCAATGACCATTGAGTGGTTCAAATGTTTCTAGCAAAATTTATGTGGTGCTCCAAACTTTTACTTTCATTTTCACGATATCATAAGTGAAATTATATAAGTACACCTAAAAGGACACATGCTTCCATCGTTTCTGTTTATAGGACAACTCCGGCGAATTTTCAAAGTCAATGGATCTCAACAAAATTAACTGGGCACGTTGACTTGTACGTTGGCGCCATTCATGCGAAATTGCAGGCTTCAGAGTTTTGCCGATTCTTTTCAAATGAATTTTATAGCTTGCCTCGAAACACTCACCTCGCTTGTCAGGATTAATGGTAACATTGTATGTGTGACGTTGATTTTTGCCTGGCGGAAGTGATGAAACTGATGTGCACTGCAGCGTCTGCTTGTTTGCTATGGACAATGTAGATTTGACCGGCGCTGAGCGATCAATTTTTTTTTCCATGTTGGTGGGCATGCGATAAGTGGCAAGTGACTTTGCTTTGAATCAGGCATGTTCGGGCAAATGATTATGTCACACATAGAAGCGTGCTCGGTTGGATTTCGGTATTGCCGCTTTTCGGTAATTAAAAATTATTTTCGAATTTGTTGAGCAGTTAAGCTACCGGGTGCGTGATGAGAGTGTCTCAGGAACATAAAAGCACCATTATCCTGACATGGTCAAAAAATCACCGCAGTTGGCCTTTAAACCTCTCAATAAATTGCTCATACGTAATTACGAAAGCATGTTTATCTTCTAAGTTGTCGCGCAGCAAAACTGTAGCCATGTTATCACCGCCTGTCAACATTGGCACATTCACACTGTTTAGCCTCCGTCACTCAATAGCTATCACAGTTCCAACCGAAGTATGGAGTGCTGCATTGACTCGATAAAGTATTCACTAAATAGCCTTTGAAATGGCCCATGTGGCAGGGCCCATGTGGCAGCTCGTGCTGGAAAGCTGAGTCAATAGACCATCTGTTCAATGGCATTCCAAACACAATTATGACAAGAGTTTATGGTTTATCTTCTAAGTTGTCGCGCAGCAAAACTGTAGCCATGTTATCACCGCCTGTCAACATTGGCACATTCACACTGTTTAGCCTCCGTCACTCAATAGCTATCACAGTTCCAACCGAAGTATGGAGTGCTGCATTGACTCGATAAAGTATTCACTAAATAGCCTTTGAAATGGCCCATGTGGCAGCTCGTGCTGGAAAGCTGAGTCAATAGACCATCTGTTCAATGGCATTCCAAACACAATTATGACAAGAGTTTATGAAAATCTTACGGACAAGACAGAACATTGCACCAATTTTCACATCGTAAGGACAAGACAAGACAATGCACTAACATTCATATATGAACTGTCCAAAGAAAGATGCCCTGCTCACATGCATAGTCGAACATCTCTGCAATATGAACGTCATGATAGGAAGCCAGTAAACAAACCCCAAGGTCAAAAATTTAAAAAGAAATATGCGTAATATTGCTAAGTGAACATGCTGCCGCAAGAATTTCGCAAATATGTGCTATAATAAGGAAGTTACAAGGGTTACAACATCCGTTTCAGCCAGTTACAAATTTTTGTCATAGACAGGAGAAGGTGTAGACCATTGTCACGACTCCAACCACTTCGACAAAGTGACATGACATCCGTGACGCATCATTTGCATGCAGCACACAATCGAGCAAGGCTTTCCTCACGAGAGTGCATGTCACGGCGGTGTAGGCAGGAAGCGAGGAGGGAGGTCTACCTAACGGGAAAGTAGCAAGACACCTCTTAACCACGGAGGCTTTTGTTCTGGCAGTACCACTTCTCCCGGAGGCTCAGGCTCTACAAAGTGACCAGGGGCAGCACAAAAAATTGAAAATGCAAAATGTACAGTTGAAACTGCATCACCGCGAGACAAAGACGCAGTTTCATAGGGCAAAAAACCACTCCACAAGCTCTGCGGTACTTTTAAAGCTGCCTAAGGGCAAACTTGCATTACTGCGTGTAAGAGTGGGAATGGTCAGACGAAGGAAATAGGCGCGGGAATATTTCTTCGAAACGGAAGGTCTATGTGGTACGCAGTGGTGTAATACAGCCAAATCTTATTATAGTGAACCTCAGATTAACAATTCTTTCAGATTAACGACTTTTTTGAAAATCGCCCTTCCAATGTGCACTAGTTTAATATAAGAATATTTCAATACTACAAATTTAAGAATATTGAATG